AAGACTCTCTCCCTTGGTTACCCCCCCCCCCCCCCCCCTCCGTAGAATGAAAAATGGCATGAACCTGACCTAATACAAGCACTGAGTAGCAGTTGTTAGCCACCAATCTCCAAATCTTTTCCACCAGCCTCTTATCAAATCCCAATCTTTCCAACACTTTCATAAAAAAAATTCTAGTCTACCTTATCATAAGACTTTGTCATATCTAGCTTAATTACAACATTTACAGGTTTACCTCTTTTTGTGATGTCACCAATAATATCTTGAGCCAATAACACATTTTCAGTAATGCTTCTATCCTTCACAAAGCCCGATTGATTCTGTGAAATAATTTCGGGAAGTAGATTCTTCAACCTATCATGAATGGCCCTAGAAATCACTTTGTTCAGAAAATTGCTTAGACTAATTGGTCTTAAATAAAAAAAAAGTTTGCACATTTTCTCTTTTATGCAATAAGAGCAAATTAGTGTGAGTAATTGACTTTGCAAGCGTACAACCTAAAAAGAATTTGTGCACCACCTTGACAACATCATTACCAATTATACTCCAACAAACCTGGTAAAACACTCCAGTGAAGCCATCAGGGCCACTGGCACTATCACCATTCAATTTAAACACCACCCTTTTACCCCATCTTATGATTGCATAGTGTTTAACATCTGATTGTCATCAATAGTAATACAAGCCTTAATATTCTTCAGTAATGTCAACTCCCCATTATTAGTTTCAGAATTGAACTAATTATGATAAAATTGGATAGCTTCAGTTGCACCTCCTCCTAGCCCACAACCCATTTCCCATTATTTTTCCCAATTCTGTTAATCAATAACCTCTTCCTTCTTCCATTTACCAAGTTGTGAAAAAACTTGGTATTTCTGTCACCCTCAAAAAACAATGGAATGCCAGCCTTTTGCTTCCAATATTTTTCTTCATAATGCAACTATCTCATCAATTTAGCTTCTGCTTGTTGTAACACCATCCTATTTTCTGCAGAAGGATTTTCCTCAAACAAAGCTTATTTGACCCTCACAATATCCTCCCTAATCTTCAAGTGATTGAATATATCCCCAATTTTCTCTCTACTCCATTTTGATAGTGCAACTTTAGTGTTTTTCATCTTGTGTTTCAAACTAATGAGGACATCATCATTTTAAGGAAACCCTATAGTTTTCTCTTACCACTTCTCTGAACTCAATAGATTCTGTTCAAAATTTCAGAAATTTAAATGGCCTTGCAACAAAAGAAACTTCTTCCGCACATACTAACAATAATGGAGCATGATCTGAACCAATTCTAGCAAGGTGTTCTACTTCAACATTCAGAAACAAACCTTACCACATCTGATTCATTAACACCCTATCAAGCCTCTTAAAGGTACAATTTTTGCTGCTCTTTCATTCCACAAAGTAAAAGGACTTCCCCTAAATCATATATCAAATAACTCACATGAATTTACACATAATGCAGAGTCTTCATACTCTTGTGGATACATAGGTAAACCACCAATCTTCTCCTCCTCATGCTAAATAATATTAAAGTCTCCTCCTATCAACCAAGGCAAAGTCATATCATAACTAACTGAGTAAATATACCTTAAATAATTGTCTTTAGTAAATGAAGTAATTAAGTCAAACACACAGTTATAATTATGACGATATGATATTTGAGCCTAACTCAACTTTTAAAAGGGGATTATCCAAGAATACATAAGGTGTGCCTTCATTACCCCAATAACACACAATTGTAACTGGGGTTTTAGGCCAAGAGCAAGACATGACACATGTGCTTTTTAGAAGTCAATCCGACATCAATTTTTAATTCAAACAGTATAACTACATAAAAAAAAGAACTAGTAATTCATACAAATATATTAGCTAAGCACTTGGTCTCCATATCAATTTTCAAGATTAAAAAAAATGAGCACTCAATATTTAAAACTCCAATTAAAACCCTTGCTATGAGTACAATCTTTTGTACTATGCATCTAAAGGTCTATATATAGGATTTCAAGCTAATCTAAGGTGTCAAGGAATATGTTATTTGCGAATGATATAGTTCTAATTGACATGACTTGTGCAAAAGTCAACACTAAATGGGAGAGATGTGGAGACAAACCTTAGAATCTAAAGGGTTCGGGTTGAACATAACCAATCGCAAGTTCAATGACATAGCACATGAGATTAGTGTGGAAGTATAACTTAATACACAAACAGCCCCAAAGAGTGAAATTTCAAGTATATATCTTAGATCTATTATCCAAAAAGATGGGAGATTGACAACGACGTTACGCATCGTATCGGTACTAGTTGGATGAGATTGAAGCTTGCATATGGATTCTTGTGTGATAAGTTTGTGCAACCTAAACTTAAAGGCAAGTTCTACAAAGTGATGGTTAGAACTACTATGATGTATGAGGCGGAGTGTTGGTCAGTCAAGAAATC